ATTAACCCAGTATATTTCATTTGTTTAATGGCAGACACAGCCTTCCCATCTAACTCTCAGCAAGAATGTGAGTAAATATATTTCCCAGGTTGTCAGACTATTCCTTCAGAGTTTAATTTGGGGTATTTTTGAGTCGAAGTGAGCTTTCTGCGCCTTGCATGATGAACTCAAACCTGGGAGAGGTCTTACGGCACTCACCATCTGTCCTCTACTCTCTGCTTTTGGGAATTGAGACAAACAAATGTCATTGGTTGGTTGACAGATGAGATGTACCCTCAGTGGAATGTCAAGAGGAAATGAAGAGGCTGGGGAGAGGAAAGGTTGCCAGATGAAAGGACTCTGATCCTCTGAAAATACCCTCCATTCAGCGGCAGATGTCTGTGAGCACCTGAAGCTGTCCACACACTGCCTCTGAGAGGTTGAGTATAAAGTGACACTTAATCAGTTCAGGAAATAAACAAAACCTTAGTGGGAAGATGTCAGCGTCAGGATAGGAGCTGCTCATTTGACAGAACAAAGCCTACGCTCGTGAACAGACGCCTTTGTTTACCGGTATCAGGAGGAGAAAATGTTATTCAGGGGATTATATAACAGAGGAGATATATTCAATAAACCTGACAACACAGCTGAGTGGTCTCTGTACTTGTTGGAAATCCTCTCATGTTTAGTGACAATCTGGACTGCCTGTACATTTGATTGTAAAGGAGTGCCATAAGCTGTGCATGTGAAATGTGTATTAATGCGCTTCAAATATGCAGTTTTATTGTGAAGACCTTGTTACTATTGGTGGTACGTTCTCACTGTCTCAGATTCCCATGTGGGAAGTATCGAGGAAATTAAACCTTGTAAACGCACATTTGCATTGTAATGGAGAAAACAGCTGTCCTCGGGATTCCTTATTGTGACATGATGATATAAAACAAAAAAAATTCAATATGCAGTGTAGCTACAAGTCAGGAAGTTCTTCGATACACGGTTATGGTGCGGATACAGTGTGATAATATTGGCATGAAAATCAGATCTTTTTCCAGACACCATCTCAGCAGCGTCCCTCAGGATGTGGTGACATTAGCGTGAATTAATCACCTGTATGCAAATCAGCCGAAGCTTTGAAAGCAGCAATCACACACCAGTGTTTTTCTTTTGTCAGCCAGGCTGGTAGCATAGCTTACACTGTTTAACATCTGATTATTGTATTCTGTAATGGTGTACCTCTGTTGATTGGCACATTGGCTGCCTCTGGAAACTCAAAACAGGTGATTGTGTTGCAGTTCTGCTGTAGCTGAAAGCAGATAAGAACCATGCTTTGCCAAAGCTTTTTAGGAGAATGGAGTGTAATGTGTAACCCTGAAATAATTCTCTGATCATTGGTAGACACAGAAGCCCCAAATTCTGTGAAGTATGATGAGCTTGAAAAAAATATGTCAGACACACTTGTGCAACCTATCATTTTGAATTTTTGTGTGTGAAAAAAGTGCAGATTAAATTATAAGGTCATTTTTGAGGTTGTATTTTGTCGCAAAGCTCATTAGAGGTGATTAGGCTAGGAATTTTTCAACTGAAAAAAAAAA